TAAGTGTATCGGAAAAGTTATATTCAGAAAGAATAAACCAGTTTTATTGAGAAAGGACTTGTGTCGCTAAAGTTTCGTCGGAACGAAGTTACGGAAAATCAACTAACGAACGGAGACGTAACAATATATTGGCTTTTCATCTCACAAATTAGAACCTCCTCACCCTCCCTTTAACCTTTCAAACATTCTGAGTACGGGCCTGATATCTACAATGATGTGATTTAATATATGCCAATCTCTTGTGAACTTTAAGTAATACCACAGCTGCTTGATATGTAGTGCTTACAATGCTGGCATGGTCATGGACAGTTAGTGCTCAACACCCTTGAAAGTATTAGATTTCTGATCCTAGTGTGCTTACTATTACTACGATCTGGAAAGAACTATTTCTAAAACGCTTAAATGTAGCGTTTATCAAGCATACGTAAACCTGATTGTGGCAGCCGTTTGGCGTCAGTTACGCATGGGTTACACGAGGTTATATAGTTGGGATGCCTCGTGACGTAAAACCGAGAATTATAACAGTGTCAACATGCGTATATAATTCAATGTGTGCATATTTCTTTCTCTTCGATTCAGTGGCGTTTTAAATGGAAGGAAGTGAGGAAAACATTTGTTGGCCTATAGATATTTTTGTTCAGAAACTTCCAAAGCTGGTAATGTTTCTGAAAAAGTTAATATAATGTTGTTTTTACTTTAGATTATAATAATTGAATTACTCATTATTAGTGTACAGGTTGAAATTTCATACAGTATAGGCTATAGTAGTTTAGTTGTATTACTATTAGTACTACTACTACTAGTAGTACACTGTACAGATTAGTTCAGATATCGGGTTAGATAATTAATCTGTCGTGTTTTTTTTTTTTCCACTATACAGTGGTGATATTGTGAACAAATACCTAGATGTATATTTGAGCTACCTTTGGATAAAATTTAATTTTAAGGTTTAAATTAAGCATTATGTATCAATTTTCACTTATCACTCAATGTTACTGTCAGTGACTCTGTGATGATTATAAGGGGTGATTTAAAAAAGTTTACACTTTTATGGTATTTTCTGTTACTTTGCCCATATTGTTTGTGACTATCTGGACAGTAAGGCCTGTCATGATCACATGGTTAGGGCACTCAACTCACAATCTGAGGGTCACGGGTTCGAATCCCCTGTCCCACCAAACATGCTTGCCATTTCAGTCAAGGGGGCATTATAAGAGTTGGTGGTGGGTAGTGATGACTAGCAGCTTTCCCTCTAGTATTTCACTGCTAAATTAGGGACAACTAGTGAAGCCAGCCATTGTGTAGCTTTGTATGAAATTCAAAACAAACAAACAAACTATCTGGGCAGGATTTTTCCCAGGAGATGGATCCGAAGAGGTGGTTCTCTTGAGATGGCCTGCCCGTTTACCAGATTTAACACAGTGTGATTTTTGGCTTTGGTGTATGGTTAAAGAACGTGTGTATGCCACAAAGCCGCGAGACATACATGATCTCTGGGAATGGATTACAATCAGTACCACCTGGGATGTGTTCAAGAGCTGTGTATGCAACGTTTGACCACTTTCAGACATGCATAGATACTTGAGGAGAGCAGGTAGAGACTGTATGAAACATAGGAAATAAAAAATATAAACCTATACAAGTGTTAATATTTTTTGTATCACCTTGTATATATAACCCTGATCTTTGAATTTGCTTTTGTTTAGCTAGTTTGGTTGTTCTTTTTTTTTCTTATCATGGAAGACCATACACTATAATATGCTGCTGCTTCTAAGTTCTATAGATGAGGGTAAGGGTGTAGATCTGGTTTATATGGATTTTCAGAAACCATTTAACGAGGTGTCACACAAAAGGCTTGCTGAAAAATCTATATGCATGGAGCAATAAGTTGGCCATCATTGTATTAAAAAATGACTGGATCAGTGGATGGAAGAAAGTGGAGAATTGTTTTACAGGAATATAGCCAAAGTCTAAAAGGTCCATGACTTCTAATTAAACATCTGACTTTTATGTAAATCCTTTGAATTTTACGTGTAGAAGAAAAGTCCCCATTTTTTTTTTGGAAAAAAAATCTCCTTCCACTCCCTAGTGCTGGCTACACCTCTGTTATAAATGGAGTTCAGTGAACTAGACTAGTATCACAGGTGGGTTAACTCAGGGCTCGGTGTTAGGACCTTTGCTTTTTTTATCTATTTCAATGACATATATGAAAGAATAGTCAATAAACTGCTTAAACTTGCTTATGATATTAAGGTCTTGGGTGTTGCTGGTTGTGATGACATTGACAATGCTAGCAACACTCACATATTGAGCATGAGACTCATGCTTCTGGATCTGTTCTTACATTCACAAGGAGAAATAGATATATCTCGCTTTCTATAATGCATTATGGTTGGTTGACTAGATGGATACAGGTCAAATTCAGCTTCACATTGATTCCAAAAATGCACCAAATTGCACCATTTTGCTTCATTGAATGAAAAATTTTAAGGGGGAACATGTCCAGGCCTTGTCAGAGGTTCAGAGAGGCACTGGCCACTTCTATCTTTTGAAGACCCTGGCTATAATGACAATAAAAATGATGACATATGAAAAGCATAATAAGACAAATCATTAGCCCAAACCATTTTTGATAGTGAAAAATAATGATTTAAACAAAAAATTGAGGAAAATTAGAATAATTTTTTTACAATAAATGCAGGCAAATAAGAGGCCAAAATCATTAAAAATATAAAACAAATTATTTAGATAACAATATCCAAGATATAAAGAAGTTGTCTTTATATAGATTCTATATGTGTTCCTGCAAAGTTGACAGTTTTGTAATGAGGCACATAAATATTCAGGTTTCATAGTGTAGAATGCAGATGGCAGTATGCACACTGGTTTGGCGATTGTTTCAAGTAAAGGGGATATTCCTGCATGTTGCAGTAGAGGGAAACTTGTTTTTGGTAGCCGTGGGGTAAATCTGAATTTCGCAGTAAGTGGGTATAATCCGAACTATGCAGCAAAGGGGTTAATATAAATTGTGCTAATGCATGATAACATCATCATGTGATGATAGCCCTCCAACAATAGGAGGGTGACATGACCTCCTTGTGCAGTAACTCTGCTTAAACACACTCAAAATAATTTTATTTTTTCCCCAGCATTCTCTTGGATGGACACGTTTTTTTGTTGTTTTTACCTTATTGTTCAATTATGTGAGATTTGCATTAGTAAACAAACCTTAATTTTTGTTCAGGTTTAACTGATTGTTCTGTCATTACTGAAGTAAAGATGACAGAACTTTTTCTACTTACCCGTTATGAATTCTCAGGTGATGGTAATTTCCAATTCGTCCCTTGATAGAGACATTGTTCCTAACATGAGATATGTGTCTATTGCAGGCCTCGACAAATATTTTTAGATCTAGGAGATCAGAGTTATCACACTCTTTTTGTCTTATTTTCACTGATCCTTAAATGAGATCCTTCAGGCTGGCATGTGGATAAATCTACACATGCACCTCTCCATTTCTCTTCCTTACCTGACTGTTTTGTCTCCTGCAGGATATGACTCCCTCCAGTCACTGTTTTTTATTACAACTATATATCATCTTTGATAAGGGTAAGTACATTTTTGAATATCCTTTTCTCCTACATAGGTTCCTATCAGGTGATTGGGGTTGCCTCTCAAGATATGATTTTTTCCCAAAATCTGCATCGAGCAAGGCTTAATGGAAAGCACTTAACCCATTTTTTCTGGTGCTACTAGGGCCCACTGTGGAGGTGGGGAATTCCACAAGACCATTAAAAGTATCTTCATGGTATTACAACTACTTTATTGCTCAGTTCAGGCCATACCATTCCATGGACTATCATAGAAAAAGCCAGCACCAGGGAGGTATTTATCCACTTCTTTGGCTAAAACTTGTTAGCATTTCAAAATACAGTTTTTCAGTCACCTATTGCACTGTCTCCATTAAAAGACCTTTCCGGCAGGCATCCAATGGGAATTCAGGCACTTATGAAGGTTTCCCCAACATGAATTCTCCTCCTTTCTTCAAGTATTGCATGAGAGACCCTTGCAACTTACCAGCTGCTGGGGTAGTGGACCATGGAGAGTTTCTCAGTGATTGTACAGTGGTGACACTGTCTGTGTAGTGTGGATCACTCTCAAGTAGCTAGTGTGTCCACCTCTTTCAGCAAGAGAGTGTCCAGTTGAGTTGGGACACACACACACACATCATACAATCTGATCTCACCCTAATCACACTACACTTCTTGGCTTGCTGACCACTTGTGTGCTGATGCTTGGTCGGTCATAATCAAATTTGGCCCATCCCTGTGACACTTGTTCTCTTGCCTTTTTCTCTATTTCCTTCAGGTCAAGAGTATATATACTAGTTGAGATGAGGTGTAGTCTACCACAAGCATGCCCATATGTATCCCATGCCATCGAGTGTCACACTCCATGGGCTTTCCCTTTAGGTGCTCTCTGAAAGTAGCTCACCTATATTTAATTTTTGCACTGGCCACTTCACCATTTTAGTGTAGGTTTCTAACTATTCTGTGTGAAGAGGTAAGGTATTGTCTTAGAAGTTGACATTTTCCTTAACTGAAAATGTATTTCCAATAGATACTCACCTCTCACACTTTCCCACCCATCCTCCTTACTTCTGGTGTACTTTCTTCTTGCTTTGTTTAAGAATGAAGTTATAACACCAAAGAATGAAGTTATTTTGAGTGCAAATGTTTAAAAGGAGCTACTGCGCAAAGAGGTTGTGTTGCCCTCCTATTGGTGGAGAGCTTTCATCATATGAGGATGTCAGCATAGTGGCATGCAACTTTCATAGGCAGACACATGAGGGATCAAATTATTCTGTGTCAGGAGGTGAGTATCTATCAGAAATACATTTTCAGGTAAAGAAAATTTTAACTTATGAGTCAAAATGGATTCTACATGTTCAACTACTTTATGTTCCAAAAATTGTACAAGTAGAAACTTTACTTAGATCATATTTCACAAATGAGATTTTAGTCATCATGATAAATTAATTTCAAAACACAGTGAAGTATGTTGATTCCTAACCAGTTGGAGTAGAAACTCTTATAACATATCAGACTGACACATATGTGAAAATCCAATAAACATTTTTGTTTGTGTTAGGAATGATTCACCTTGGACTTCTTTAGTAAGATGGTTACATTACATATATTAATACCAATCTTGAGCTAAATTGACCACATTTGAGATGAGATACAGTGTAATAATCCCTCGGGCATGGTGGGGCCTAAAATAACTGTAAAAGTAAAATCAAACACGTTCTTCAACTCTTCTTATTTTAACCATCCAGGGTTGACAGCTATGCATGTCTTTGTAATAACCATGGTTGACATTTGTGTCCATATCCATGATCAGCCAGTGTTAACAGCTCTGTAAGTCCTTGTGATCAAATGGGGTGACAGCTCTATAAATGATCAGCATTTCATATGGTTTCAAGATTAGAGTTATTCTGATGTAGATTATAATTTGTTTACTGTTGCAATTTATTGTCATGTAAATACAAGAGTAAATCCAATGAGCAATCCATCAAAAAATGAAATAACATTTTCAAACCAGATAACACTACTAGTTTTTTCTATTGTACAATCAAAATTGTATTATTATTAAAAAAAACTGTGGGACTGCTTAACAATAAATATATTGTTTGAATGTAAGAGTAAATTATTTATTTTATGTAGTGATGTATATATTTCTCACTCTGTTATTGACTCTTTATCAAGTGAAACAATGTCAGTAACTTTGATGGTTCTTAAACAGCTTTTTTTATTCAGTAATGAAAGCACTTGTACAAAAAATGTAACTTTATTAATGATCATTGCATGTTGACTGGAAAAAATCAGCAAACATCCTCTTCTTTTATTGCCTTAATATTTTGAAGGATTTGTATATACCAACCACTGTATAAGGCCTTCAGTTCAATTCTTTGTTTAGATATCCAGTATATAAGAAACAGGAATTTTATGATTTTTAGCATTTGTCGAACAATAGATTAGTTATGTAAGGTGAATATAAATGAGGTCTAATATATGAACATAAAACAATGTAGGTTGTGATAGTGTAAACTCTTATTGTTTACCCAGGAAGTTCATGCCCACCTAAATGGATCAATTAGCCTCAGTTCTTTAAATAAACTTCTCCATAAGAAGAATTCAGAAAATCTGGAGCCAGTTAAAGAAAGTATAACTTTTTCCAAAAGGGACACACTCTCTCTAACAGAGTAAGTATCATTTATTGTAGCATGTGAGCTCGTCTTTGTAATGTTAACATAAAAATAACTCTTAGATACGTGTATACAATTTTTTAGGTAGGTGCTGTAAAGTAACATGAAGCATGTTGTGAATGCATGGAAATACCAGAAGTAAAACACAGAAGAAAGCATTTTAAATGAGAAAATGTCTTGATTATAGAGCTGTAATTTATAAGATGTTTTCTAAGAATCATTGGAAAAACTCAAAATACCGATTATATATGATTTATATTTCTTTCACCAAAGAACAAAACAATAGAATTCCAGTCATCAACAAAATAAAGATGAAATCTATTAACTCCTTAAACCTGTGCAGATGCTGTCTGGCTGAAAATCTCGAATTAATGCATGAGGTGGTGACAGTGTCTAATAACATTTGTTTCTCTGGCTGAAAACTAATCCAAATCATATTATTATCCACCTTTTATGAATAAACCTGAATTTTGTTAAAGTGTGGTGATGATTATTAGGACATCCTGAAAATAATTCTAGCAGAATGTGCAAAATATTATGAGTTTAAAGAGTTAAGTTTGTCAAAAACAGGTTTGAACTGGGATGATTTGAATATGAGAAGGTTAGGACAGTGGATTTAAAGAAGCTATAAATGACTTATTAAGTGTCTTCAATGAAAATGAGGTACATATAGATTTGAAATACTTTTATAAACAACAAGCTTGGTTTGAATCAAAGCAATCAAGCTAATAGAAATATATTACAGAGAGCAGTAAGACTTATCTCCATGTTTTGTATACTAATGTAATATGACTGTGAGACAGATCACCAGAATTAAATGTTGGTACACTTCTTATCATTGAAATTATGGGCCATTAGTTCTACAAAGTAGTAATTATGTATATGTATTACTGGAAGAATATAATGCTTTTCATACTAACAGGCTGAACATTAATTGTTGAAAGATAATTCATAATAGAGGTGGTTGATACTATGAAGTTTCTTGGTTTGGACCCATGATAATAAAAGGCAAAAGATGCTTATTGGAAATTTTCACAGACTATATATTAAATTATCAGATTTATAGAGTTATTCTTAGATAGCTGACTCTTGTTAGTAAGTGGATTTTGGTACAGAAGCTTGTTTTCCCTACCATTCATTTTCCAGCAAGATGGAAGATTTTCCCACACATGCAGCAAATGTGGTGAAACAATCTCCCTATATCTATCTAAACAGGATGTTGGTAACCATGGTCTTCCACAGATATCTGGTGTAACAATACCTGGAAGAAGAAGGTTATAGAAGATTCACCTGCACAAGGTTCCAGTGTGAAAGTATTAAAGTTGTATGGGCGTATATTGAAACCAAATAGATCAAACTGCAACAAAAACTTGGAAAAAAGTTTTGGGAGTGACACAGGACATTTAGAACAATATTTCACAAACATAAGTTGATAAACTTGTGCTATTGTTACGACAGCGGGGGTCACGTGACGCTAGTAACGCATCATATTCTCGAACGTTCACGTCCCTTCCTGAAGTCTTGAGAGGCTACTACATATGCGGTAGTCTTGTATATATAAGCCGCCAAGAAGTGACGGCAACAATGTGTGTAATTGACAGTTGAGTCGATTCACGTGAGACATTCGTTGTGAATTATAGC